CCACTAGAAAACTTATATAGAGTTTCTGGAGATATGGATATACACAAGAATAGGTGGTATTCCATAAACACAAAACCAATCTTCTTCTTTGTGTTCACCAGCTATAAACTCCAACAGAAAGTTCTGGTTGTTTGTCTGCTTCTGGACTATAGTCTTGTTCCAGAAACTGAGTGTTGTGTGCACATCAGTTTCACAGGTCTGACTCATCTGCATGCAGACTGTTAGTTCCATGCCTTTCAGTCAGATGTACTCCGACTTCAAAAGAAGCTCCCAGTTAGTCGACTCTTACAACATTCTTTTGGGCAGGCAGTGGGTCTATTCTTGTTTCCCCCAACAATGGGGCCCCAGAAGCCACATAAAAAAATTCAAATACACAGGCTTTGAAGATACTGGGAATGACTAGAAAAAAAAAAGATGACTGAAATATTTTAGTTGCATTAAAAGACATAACTCTCTTCTTGAAAACCACACTGGTGGGAAAATCTAAAGACAAGACAACGATGCATTTTGGAGGATATCAAGAGAAGACGAACAACAGTCTAAAAGGATGTACAAAAGTCAATGAGAAGTTTAAGTTGAGAGGATCAGCTTCATTGCACTAGGTTATCCCATATAGTTTGGTCTCTCTTAAAAGAAGAGCTTGCCAGATCACGCAAAGTAGGAACGTTGTAGCTACTGCAGCGATCCCCAATAATCTCGAAAAAACTGCACTTGAACCGAATGACATGTCTGTAATTTGAACCCATAACCTCAAGAGCGCAAGACAAGCTTCTTGACCACCTTGCACCCAGATACGAAAACAAGAGATATTGTTGTAGATGCATTGCATCCAATCTACATTGATGAGATAGCACCTGATTGATTGATGGTTAATTTAAAAAAAAGTGTGACATTTATACAACTTGCACCAGATAGTAATAAATGTATTTACTTCCATCTGCACCACTATGTCTCACTTGCTACTTAAACAGTATTAATTCCTGTCTTTATTTTGTTTTTTAGCATAGCAGGCTGTCTGTGTCTTTGTTGAAAAGTATTCTAAATCAATGGCTAGTATTATACTTTCTTTAAGCTGGCTTCTAAAAACATAGCTTGTGATGAATGAGATACTCAGTACACAGTAGTTAGGTTGAATAGTCATAAGCAGGACACAACGATTCCTTGGATGAGCCCAGTACCAGAGCACCATGTATTGGCTCTTGTGTTCATGGAAGTCTCATTGGGTGACAGGGAATGCTTGTGTTCTGCCCCTAACTTCTCTTCAGGGCTGACCAGCATTAAATAGCTTTCTCTGAACTGGCCTAAGGGGCGGGGGAGAAAAAAAAAGGGGGGAGGGGCACTACTTGTGACCCAGGAAACAAAGACAACCAAACAATAATGAGACTGCAGTGTACCAAGAAACTTACATCTTCGGATAAATGCAGCCTACAACAGTCTGCACTTACGACCACAAACAGTAAAGAAATAGAAATAGTACATAAAGTTGACTACAGGGATAGATCAAAAGGTACCTGGAACCAGTGCAGTAGAGTAAATTTTATGTATTTTTTCCATTATATACAATTATGTGTAAACAGATAAAATTTGTGTGTTTTATATACAATTTTTAAAACCTTGTTTGAATGACAATAGTGTTGACAAACATAAATTCGACATGCGACCAGTTTGACTTGAAATTTTTACTGGACCCCCACCCTGACTTTTGCCGGGGGCCCTACATATAGCCTGACCCTAAATATGGCCTAACGGTCGAACAGGATTTCCGGGATCACTCCAAGGGTGATCCTTATCTGCATGGTGGCACTCTGTGTCACAGGGCATTTATCACTCTGTGTGATGTCCTGGTGGTGTACAACCACCAGTTTGACTTATGACCTGTTAGCTGGAATGGAACTCAGTCATAAGTCAAAGACCCTGTGCTTTCCCTCTTACATCCAGTGAAAGAGATTGTGATGTGTGTATTTGCATATGTGCATGTGTGTATGTATGCATACATGCATATGTATATGTGCATACATACATGTGTGTGCATATACGCATGTGTGTGTACATACATGTATATGTGTATGTGCATACATGCATGTGTGCATGTATATGTGCATGTGTGTGCATGTGTGTGTGCATATGTACATGTGTGTGTGTATAAATGCATGTGTGTATGTGCATTTGTACATGTGTGTGTGCATATGTGCATGTATGCATGTACATATGTGCATGTGTGTGCATATGTGTATATGTGCATATATGTATGTGTGTGTGCATATGTGCATGTGTCTTTTTTCTTCATGTCTTTGGCACAAGGGGCATTTGGTGGTAGGTGCACATTTTGTTTTAATAGACCAGTCAGCACTCGATGGGAGGTTTGAAATATGCAGCTTTCCAACAGAGATTAATCTGTCTATTTTAGGTTTTAATGCAGATCGTAGAGAATCCCGACAGTCTGTTTCAAGCACCATAACAAATGGTATGTAAGCATTGTGTCAGCAGTTTTTGTTTTTGTCTTTTTCTGTCACAAGCAGCAAATCATGTGCAATCAGCTGTTGTCTGTTTGTACAAAGCAACATAAGATGTGTTAAATATCTATTGTGTTTGGTCTCAGTGTGCTAACGAAATTCGGCTAGTTATGATATGCAACACAGCATTGGCTGGTTAGTTAAGAAGACTGCATTTATTCCTATATGTTCTTACAATGATGCATTTAAGCCCTGAAAAGGACCTGCATCAATCATAGGAAGTTGATATAGAGACATTTATCCAAATACATCATCTTAGCAACTGTGTTGCAGAGCTCTTCTTTCCTTCTCTCAGCAGCTCAGAAACTATGTTGTTGTACTAGACCAGTACTGGAAATTCATATTTATGTAGAGTATATAACTATTTAACTAGGTTATTTTTTAAATCTTTGCATGTCTATGTAGAGGTTTTGAGAAAGAGGCAAGAGCCTGAAGCTTATCACAGTCATCAGAAGGAGACAGTAATCACTTTTCGGCCATGTTATGAGAAAGAAAATGGAACATGCTATGACCACTGGAAAGATCTGTGGAAGGAGGGATAGAGGAAGACAACTAGATAAGTTTCTTGACAGTCTTGTTGCATGACAGTGAGTTGTGTGAGCACATGAACTGATACATGCTGCAGGAGATCGTGGATTATGGAGAGGCATGATCGCCCACACCACACCCACACCTGATAATGATGATGATGTCTGTGTAATATTACCTCTGGGGGTTTCAGGTTTTGTAGGTGACTGTCAGTGCCTAGGGACCATGGAACCGTGCCACTGGCTTTGGAAACAGCGTCTGCTATGACTGTGAAGTATAATCTCAAAGTCTCTGCCACATAGTCCTCATAAAAACATTGTTACTCTATTAAACTGAGGCTGATCTTCTCTGAGACGTCTTCTCTCTATAGCTTGCTGAGTTTTGCCTGAAATAGCCTGGAACTGAAATACCTAAAATATTATTCTCGGTCAGTTTTTTTTGTGTGCATTATACATTCATGATAAAGGACTGGATACCTGAACATGGAAGAACATGAGACAGGACTTGATACGTGATCATGGAAGAGCAAGCAGCCATTGCTTTAGACTGGTGTGGAGAAAATCAACAAATAAAAGTTATTTATCATCAGATATCCATGCAAGATTCTGTGTAACTACCCATGACCAACCAGTTGATTTAAAGGTCTTTGGGTTTGAAACTGCATCAGGATAAATTTTTTTTGTATTTAACCTTGGCTCTAAGGTCATCATAGCCTAAACATGCTAGGGAATGTCATGCGAGGTAAAGGTTGCCAGTGTGATTTTAACCATGGGATATCAAAGGGTAGATAAATTTTTATCTGTTATAATAAATCTTTATGACGATTCCTGATGAGTACTTATTAATTCTGATTGGTCTATACATATATAAGTCTAAATCATGTGTTCAGTGCCCCAGTGGCGTGAAACTGGTTCTTTATCTTTATTTATACTGTATCACAATGTCAGGTCACACATATATCCATGGTAAAGAGCTGTACTTGGTGATTACACATCACATATTTAACCCTAATTTATTTAAACTGTAATCTTACGTGTACTGCCAGACGTGTTTGATGTAAAATATTAATTTGACTGTGTTATCTACCGTCTGTCGACCATAGAGCCCGCCATGGAGCGCAGGGCATCAAGACAGTCACTGTCTACAAGAGTTGCCTCTGAAGGTAAATATTTTATACATCTCTTCACAGTCTGCTTGATGATCTAGCACTCTTTCAACAAACACATCCCAGTAATCATTTGCATAAATAGGAGATACATTTTACAAATGTCCATTCTAAATTATCTGTCTCTCTTCTTCTAGCTCCTTAACTTCACTGTTTATGTATGTGTATGTGTTAAAGTTAAAGGTTAAAGTCTAGAGGATCCACTTCATTGCACCAGGTTTCATTTCATATGGCTTGGTCGCTCTCTGCAGAATGGTTAGCAGCCTGCCAAAAGTGCCGCACAGAGCACGAACTCTGCAGCTGCAGTGACAATCCCCAGGGATATCCATAAAAAAAGTGCACCCGTGAACTGAAGGATGGAGCCATGAAATGAGCCCACGACCTTCAGAGTACGAGGCAAATGGCTTGACCACTTTGCCATGCATATATGCATGAGTATTTTATGAACATGCTTTCCGCATTTAGGTTGTTCTCGAGGTTTTCGGACAATGATACCGCAGTTGTCCTGTGGAAAAGATTGTAACCTTACTGCATAATATTTCCAAAGACAGCACTCGTATAGTGTTTCCAACATTCATTGTGGAGATGGCACAGCAATTATGCATTTTTTGCATTTAATTTCCCCAACAGAAAGCGTAGCTCTCAACGAGCTCACCATATGTCCATTGTATTATGAAACATAAAATCTAACATGAAAAGTTTGTATAAACCTCCTGATATAGTGTATTATTATGTTTTCCTACATTCAACCTGAGACACAAATTTAAATAATTTATGTAACTTTATAATTTTAGAAGATCTCACAAAACCTTCACCTAGACGTAGAAAAGATACAAAAGCTTCGAGCAAAGAATTGATGCCAGCAAATTTAAAGGTTAGTAAAACATACATAAATAGAATCTTAAATGTAGAGCTTTAGGAGAGAACTAAACAGGTTCCAGTGGACCAAGAAGTGAAGAAAAGATGCTGGCGTTGGATAGGACAAACATTGAGAAAACCTGAGAACAGTATAACTAGAAAGCCTCTGCACTGGAACCTACAGGGACATACAAGTAAAGAAAGACCAAAAAACACATGGAGAAGGGAGCTAGAGAGTGAAGTTAAAAAGATGATGAGGACATGAGGCCTATGCTCCATTGGGAGCTAGAAAGGCAGAAGAAGAAAACATACATGACTAATATATGAAGAGTTTTACCTACTGTGAATTTAAAACAAGGACACAAACTATATATTGCACAGTTTTTAGCCTGGCATTGTTTGGTGTATCTGGCCAGGTACATACTACAGAACTTACAACAAGATAAAATAAAGCACAAAATTGGATCCCTTCAGCTGAAAACTACATATCACATAATTTATTGTTTTACTGTGTTTCTTTCCATAAGAGTCCAAGACTAATTTCAGAAGAAATTAAAAATGATACTAAACCTAAAATGTTTTATTCTAACATTAAATCAATACTCATGTTTCGAGCAGAAACACTGAAAACAAACTAAAACACTTATCACTAAACTACAGAAATTTATTAAGCCTGGACAGAATATCGGAAATTAAATGATATGATGGAATCACTCATGTGAGCTTTGGGAGAGACAAAAACAATTTCCAGAGGACCAAGAGGTGAAGAAAAGACACCGGTGTTAGTGTCAGATAGGACCCTCGTTGGGAAACCCTGAGAACACTATAACTAGAATGTCTTTGCAATTGAACTCACAAGGGCATAGAAATAAAAGGCACACCCCCCAAAAAAAATAATATTTTATGCAATCTTTCTTTGTCAGTTGAGAAAGAGAATTCTTAAAAACTATAAAAATCCTATCTTGATTAATGAAAGTTAATCATGGACAGTTGGTAAATTAGTGAAAACTTATTTGGAAGCTGTGGAGTGTGGTTTTAAAGATGAATAATGTGAATACCCTGGACAAATAAAATGAGTAATGAAGATGTCTTGAAAGGAACTGACTCATGGAGAGAACTGATTGCCCACATCAGAAAGATGCAATCTACATTCTTTGTTTATGTGATGAGAAGAAGAAAACTGGAGTACATTGTGACAGTAGGAAAGTTTAAGGGAAGGAGAGGCAGAGGGAGACTGAGAGAAAAGATGCTAGACAGTCTGACAGCATGGCATGGAGGATCATCTGTGTCAGAGTTAATGGAAAGTACACAAGACAGAATGTTGTGGATAGACATGACTACCAGTGACACACGCCATAGACTTTAAAAAGAAGAAAAAACACCTGAAGAAGGAAGCTAGAGCGTGATGTTAAAACAATGGGGAGGATGTGGGGGTGAGCTGCTTGCAAAAGCAAAGGAATGAATGACTTGGCTTTAGTTGGTTGATGGTCTGTGCTTCATGGGAGGGGGGAGGAGGTGGATAGAAGGCAAAAGGAGAAGAAAGAAGAGGAAGACTGAGGAGCAGCAAATCTATTGCCTGACATCTCTTATTGTGCTAACAACTTTAGGCAGAGAAGCACAACTGTGGAGGATACTAGCCTAGACTAGCCTTATCCTAGGAAGAGGAAATGCAACCTGAAAATTTCATCTTACAGCAGGGCAGACCAGGCCCTTAACCTTGTCTAGCAGTTTGTCTGGGAGCAATGCTCCCTTAGCCTTGGCTGACAGCTTGTCTAGGAGGGAAGCACTGACAGATGGATAGATAGAGCACTGCTCTTCTGATCTGGCATCTTCTGCAGCCTGCTTTGTTTGAAATGTATCAATGTTACCTGTCTTTTAAATTAAACAAGACAGGTTAAAGAAGTGATCATGATGCATGGGCAACACACAGTCTCAACAGTACTGCCCAGGTTTTGTGCCATGGAAAGGAGCTACCATGCTTCCCTATAGCACAACATAACACTGTTGTCTGGAAAAATGGAAAGGTGCCTACCAACTTAAACTGAAGAAGACTGAGCATGTATTAAGTTTTGCTCAGAGGTAACGATGTGGCTTCTGTTTTTGAAGAAAGAAAGAAATATTTGAAGAAACATAACATCATTTGACCTTTTTAAGTTCTTTTACCATCTTGTTTAAAACAAAAATTGTCACAGGACTGGAATGTTGTACAGTCCAAGGGAACATTTTTTCTCGATGAGGACGGTGACATCGTCAATCATGTCTACAGCCTAAGTCTACCTCAGGACTCTGATATGTGGATCACCATGCAACACCTGAAGATTGGAGAATCAGGTAAATGATCGATTTACGGTGTTCATCCTGTAGCAGGTTCTTTGCAGAATTTCTCCCATCAACAGGCCACACAAAAAAGCCTCATGATTTCTTGCCTATTCACCATCGTAAATGTGTGTGCCAAGGTATCTCTAATGTTCTGGGTCCATCCACATTTTGATCAACTCCTTCTTATAATCTCAGGATGTTTGCCTTCCATTTTTGTTCTTTGTAAGCTACTTCAGTTTTTAATATGGCTGGATTATTTTATTTTTCATAGCAAGCCGCTCTTTATTATCCCTGTTTATTATCTAAGTTTTCTTCAGAGTTAGATCTTGAGGAATATCAGGTTCTTCTTTCTACTGTATGGTGTGTAAATGTGGACAATGAAGATGCACTCTGTTGTTAATGCCCAGAAGATATGGATTTACAGAAGATTATGTAGTATGTCATGAAACATAATCCAAAAAAGAACAGCAGCTGTTGAAAGAAGTAAAATATAAAAAAAAAAAAAAAAAGAGAGAGAGAGAGAGAGAGAAAGAGAGAGAGAAAGAGAGAGAGAGAAAGAGAGAGAGAAAGAGAGAGAGAGAGAGACACAGAGAGAGAGAAGTGAAATATGTTTGCTATATTAAAAGACGTCACACTCAACAACAACAAAAAAAGGATGGAAAAGTTGAGGGCCACTGAAAAATAAATAGACAGTGATACATGTGTTTAACAAAAGATGGGTGAGCAGCAGTTTGAGAAGTTAGCAACCAACACAAGAGACAGAGACTTTTGGAGGCACCTGTTGGATTGATTGAATTCCTCATGTGGGTTCCAGGGCCCTTTAGGAGGAAAATAAGAATAAGCTCTTCCAGCAAGAATGTCATTAAGGCAACTAATTAAAAGTGGTTTATTCAAAGTGGGAGAACATCTGTCTGAGAGGTGAGAAACAAACAGTCTACATAAAAATAAGACAGATCTGTGTGGATGAGCATGGCAAACTCAAGTTCTGAAACAAGACCAAAGTCCAGAAGTGGACAAACAACCATAACTTTCCACTGGAGTTTATAGCTATGAACACTAAGAAGAAGAGGATTGATTGATTGTTACTGTTACTATTTGATAAACTATATTTGTTATTTGTTACTTCAATAGGAGAGTCTCTGGATGGCACAGTAACAGACACAGCCTTGTTAGTTCTGAAAAAAGATGGAACCTCATTGGTAGCTTTTACAGAAAACAAGGACAGCAAGGGCGTGAGTTTCCTGGTGATAATATCATGTTTGTCTGGCCTCTTTCTATCATGTCTGTCTGCCCGCTTTATTTATGTCTTCTTCTTTACTTCCACTTTTACCACTACGGGTCGAGGGAGATATAAGGTCCTCTTCTGGCTGCTTCGACCAAACACACATTGTGGTGCTATAGAGTTTCTCTGATGTTATCATTCCATGTTGTTCTTGGTCTACCTCTTGCTCTACGTCACTCTCCTCTCTTGGGTTAAGCCTTGTATGGTATAGCATTTCGGATCTTTCATTTCTGTGCACTGAAATGATTATTCTGTCTGATTTAAATCCATAAAAATGAATCTTCCCATGTGTTACCAGCTCTCATAAGAGTAGCAAAGAATATTAGCTCTGAAACCTGCAATAATATCAAAAGTAATTAACAAGAGACTAGCTACTTTATCCCATAGAAAATTTTAGCTGCAAAATGTAACTGATCATGAACAAGTCTTCATATGACTTGGCACGAGTTAGATGGTTTATGGTCTTTTGGGGTTGAATGATAGAAGAAGAAGGGAGATGAGGAGGAGCAGCACAGCAGAAGAAGAAGAAGGAGGAGCAGGCTCAGGAGAAAGTGCTGCATCACAAGTCATCAAAACAGACGATTGTACAATTTTTACCTTTTTTTTTTCTGTGTTTCAGAAATACAGCTTAAGGTGCAGCTTGCGTGCAGGAACCTACATTCTCATTCCATTTACTACTGGCTGTAGGCTCAAGCTCAGAAAAGATATGCCTACTAAAGAGGCAAAACTTATCAGCAAGGACACAGATGGCAGAGTAAACCTTACTAGAGCTTTCCGGTAAACAGCACTTGCTTGCACTTGTTTGTGTTTAAACACATATTTATTTCAGCTATTCTTTCAGTAGCAAGCTCTAGTTACTTCAATGCATTCTGTTATTAAAAATTGCTTGTATAGGTAATAGATATTTGATTCTGAGGAACACTCCCCAAATGAGTTTCAGGACCCACATCTTTTAGGAAAAAGAAGCCTCCCCCACTTTTTTTGTTGCTGTTGTTAATAATAAAGTTTTAACCATAGACAGTAAAGACGGTTTCAAAGACATCATCATGTTATATCAACACTCTGAGCATGTCCAGTTTAACCAAAATAACTTGGTTTCTAAGATTATCCCAGTCAGATGCTTTTTTTTTAGGGAGACATCATTGTTACTATGATAGCTTTTGTCCTCTTCAGGGAACTTTGAGATAAAATTAACAATAATGCATTGAACTTAGAAGTTGAAACAGTGTATTCAAGGGAATTTACCTACAAACTAACTAACCAAATAGCCAACCGACTAAGTAACTAACCAGTCAAATAACCAACCAGCTATACATTCAGTAAACCATCCAGTCAACCCACGAACCATTCTTTGAATAAAGCAGTCCCTTAGCCATCCATCTAACCATCCATACAACTACCTATCCATCTAAAACATCAGCCATCCATCTAACCATCCATACAACTACCAGTCCATCTAACACATCAGCCATTCATCTAACCATCCATACAACTACCCATCTATCTAACACATCAGCCATTCATCTAACCATCCATACAACTACCCATCTATCTAACACATCAGCCATTCATCTAACCTTCTACCTGATCAATTATTACTGCCCAAATGATCGTCCCCAGGCTTTAGACACAATCTCAGTGGAAGAAAAGATGATTCTATGTGGAGATTTTAACAGCCACTCACAAAGCTGGGGATATGACCATATAGACCAGAGAGGAGAGAAACTGGAGGAGTGGCAGGATAAGAACAGATTTGTTCTTATTAATAGGCCAACTGATCCACCCACATTCTACTCGAGGTCGTGGCACACCACTACTACCCCAGACCTAGCATTTCACTCTCCAGATCTGGAATGGAACATTAAACGAGTTGTTGGAAATCAACTGGGAGGCAGTGACCATCGACCGGTCTTCCTGAATGTAGAAAATGAGAAGATCAGAGAAACTAGTACGCTGCCAAGGTGGAACTACAAGAAGGCTGACTGGACAATGTTCAAGCACCGTACCAGTATACTGCTTGGAAATCTCAGCGTAGACCAGGATATAAACAAAGTAGTTAAAGAATTTAACAAATGCGTACTAAAGGCAGCAGGAGAATCAATACCAAGAGGTGCCCGTAAGCATTATAAGCCATACTGGAGTCTTTCTTCTTCTTCTTCGATCCTTCTGTCAGAAAACTTATATCAGGAGGCCGGTAGCCTTTATGAAAGCTATCGTGCAATCCATATCCTCTTGTGTACCATACAGTTTTGTCTTCAGTGTGGTTGGAACAGGCCAGATTGCGTCTCTGTTGTCAGCATACAGTTGACAGTGTTGGAGCACATGCTCAGCATTTTCGGGTGCCACGCTGCAGGGACACGTCTCCGTATTTCCTACACCAAAAAATTTGAACATATGTTGACGAAATCTGTTGTGCCCTGTCCTTAGTCTGAATATAATAGACTGTCCCTCTCTAGAGAGGCGATGAAGTGAGTCTTGGGGAGAAAATCTGGTGTGGGTATCCAGCCACCTTTCTTGGATACTAGATTGTATTAGTGTTTTCATCTCTTGGTGGGTTAAGTCGCTATTTGGTTGTACCATGTCACTGCCGTTTCTGGCCAATCTGTCCGCTATTTCATTGCCTTCTAAGCCACAGTGACCTGGAATCCACTGCAGCACAGATTGTTCTACTGAAGAGCCTAAGTAAATCAGCTGTTGCGTCAAGTCTACAAACTGAGTGTCTTTTGGGTTAACAATTGCTTGTAGAACTGACATAGCATCAGTCAGAAAGACCACTCTGCTATATTTGCTGTGCTGTTGTCTATTCAGGAAAGAACATGCTGCTAGAAGTGCTTCTGCCTCTGCTCTGTAATTGGAGGAATATGAACCTGTTGGTACAGCCTGGTTGATTTTTAAACCATTTGGGCATTCTATGTATATTCCTCCTCCTCCGTCTCTTACTGCTCTCTTGGCTGAACCATCTGTATACACTCGAATCCAACTCTGGTGTGGGTAAAGTCTATTGATCTCTCCTTCTGTAGTTGATTTCATATCAGTGCTGCTCATTGATGATTTGGAGGAGACCCCTGTTACAGTGGTTCTGACTGTTGGTAGGCTATCCCTAAGCCAAGCGGGGCAGTCGTTGTAAGGTTTAAGTGGAACATTTGGTATTATGGGAGGGAGTTTTAGGATAGCGAGCTTGGCATTTGCGTTCTTAATAAAGCAAGTTCTCTTTAGTCTAGCCTTCTGGGGTTTCTGTAGTCGGCTGTACATGGGTTGTTCTTGAAAGTGGTGGTATTTGGAGAGCTGGGTGAGGATCTTTGTGTCTCTCCTATCTTCCAGATTATGGAGACCAGTAATTGTTTCCATATCTGATATGGGCGTGGAGCGCATTGCCCCTGTCATAATACGGAGAGCATGGTTTTGGATCTTTGAGACTTTCTGAAAATTTGATTTAGCTGCTGTGCCCCAAGCAGCTATTCCATATTCTAGTGTTGGCCTCACATAGCCTGTATAGGTCCTCTTAAGGACATTGAGGTTTGCCCCCCAGTCTGTTCCAGCTAACTTCCTCATCAGTTGTGTTCTCTTGAGTCCCTTGCTCTGTGTCTTTTCTATCTGTTTTCTCCATGTGAGTCTTGAGTCAAAGGTTACTCCTAAATATGACGGTGAGTCATCATGTATCAATGCCTGGCTGCCATATCTAAGTGAAACTTTCTGGGGTTTGGTAGAGAGACTGAAAATGGTGTGTGCGGTTTTGGTCCCATTTACAGGCATGTACCAGCTATTGGACCACCTCTCTAGAGTTCCGAGGGATTCTTGAAGCCTTGTCTGTGCTTTTTCAGTGTCCTCCTCTGAACTCAGTAGCGCCAGATCATCGGCATACATAACGGCTTGAACTCCATTACAGAGGGTTGATTTTATGTCGTTAATGTAAACTAGGAAAAGAATTGGGGACAGAACTCCGCCTTGTGGAACTCCATGTGTCATTGAGACTGATCTGCTCCTTGAACCGTGTATCTTGACTCTTGCAGATCGATTTTCAAGATATTTTACGATCCACCCAAGCATGTGATGGGATATTCCACTTTCAAGTAGCTTTTGTTTCAGCCCATTTTTCCACACTTTGTCGAAGGCCTTTTCCATATCCACCCAAACTGCAATAGTGTGCTTTTTTTCCTGAAATGCATCTTCAATGTGCTGAGCAATAAATGTAATTTGGTCTTCTGTTGATCTACAACGTCGAAAACCTGCCTGTTCCTCCATTAGTTTGACGTTTTTCTCTAGGAACCAGGTCAGTCGGTTGTTCAATAATCTTTCAAATAGTTTGCACATACAGCTAGTGAGGCTGATGGGTCTGTAGCTGTCTGCGTTGTTCTTCGGCTTTCCTTGTTTCAGGATTACGAAGATTTCAGACTTCCTCCAGGCTGGAGGAACTATACTAAAAATCCAGCTGGCATTAAATATGTTTAATAATTTCTTTTTGGCAGTTAGACCCATGTGTAGTAACATATCATTCGTGATTTTATCGGGGCCAGGGGCTTGGTTGGATTTCAGCTGGTTAAGTCCTGTGTTAAGTTCACTCATTGAGAATTTATCTGTCATGATGCTCTCTGTTGGTTTACTCTTGCTGGCCTCCTCGAGTTCTTTTATTCTTTGTACTACCTCATCTTCTTTGGACTTTTCTATATTAATATCACTAACAGATTTAAACTGATTTAAAAGGATATTTGCAGCATCGTTTCCAGATCTGATCTCATTGCCCTCATTTATTACTATTGGATTGGCTTGTTGGGCTTCTCCATTTAGACACTTGACTAGTTTCCAGAGTTTGGACCCATCTTTTTCAAAACTTAGTTTTGTCTTGCCAGCTCTTCCTAGTTGCTTGAAGTGTTTCTTTTTTTAGCTTAGCTTCTGCTGCTTTGTAAGCAATGTTGTTTTCTACCGTTGGGTTGCTTTCTACTCTATCTCTTGCTTCTGAGAGAGTTTGGTGGAGGTCTTGAATTTGTTGGGACCAAAATGGGATGTAATCTTTCCTTGAACCCCTAGGTATGGTTTCTTTGGCTGCTTTTAATATAGCTTCTGTAAACTCTTTTACTGATTTAGCAACCTGACTTGATTTGCCGTTTACATTTATCGAGTATACATCAGCTAGGTTAGCAAAACTGTTCCAGTCAGCTTTCTTGTAATTCCAACGATGGGGCGGCATCGAATGAAGGCCTCTCATATTTAGAACAGAAATCAGGATCGGTCGGTGGTCACTACCTGCTAGTTGGCTGAGCACCATTTTATGTATGTTGCTTGCTAAGTCTAACGTGGCAAATGTTAAGTCTGGGCGGCTGGTTGAAAGCCATCTCCTGGAGAAAAAAGATGGGGAGTCATCTGGTTTGTTGATTAGCTGGAGTCTGGCATATGTCTGCCAGTCCTCCACTTCTTCTCCTCTGTCGTTGAGCTGTGAATATCCCCAGCTTGGAGAGCAGCTGTTAAAATCTCCTAGAACGATACAGTTGTCATCTGGGATTCTCATGTTGTATAATGAGCTAGAAAATTTACATAACGAAGTAGAAACATCCAGAAAGATAGCAGAGACCAGGCCAAACCAAGAACATCACAATAACTACCAGCATGCAAAAGCAAAATTTGTAAGGGCAAAGCTGCAGGTTAGAAGGGAAAGCTGGCAGGAGAAAACAAGGTCGCTGAACTTTGAAAAAGACACAAGAAAGTTATGGAAGCTTGTGAAACAAATTAATGATGAAGACACAGGGTGGAACTCAAAGATCACGCTGCAGAAAGATGGAAACATGGTCACGGGAAAAGAGGCAGCCAACCTATTTGCGGACACTTTTGCTTTAGATAACGACATTGAAATCAGTTCAGAGAAAAAACACGAAATTCAAGAAAAGACACAATTTAGAAGTCAGAAAGAAATAACATCAGAGGCGCTAGAGGTGCCAATTACACTTAATGAACTGGAGTTGGCCATTTCAAAGCTGAAAATGCGGAAGTCACCAGGAGCAGATGGTATATCAAACGAAATGATCAGAAACTTAGGAAAAGTAGCCAAAACAAAGCTTTTACAGATATTTAATGCTTGCTGGGCAACAGGGAATGTTCCACAGATCTGGAGAGAGGCGATTATGATACCCCTCACAAAGCTTGGGAAAGACAGTTCTAATGCCTCCAACTACAGACCAATCAGCCTCACAAGTTGTCTCTGTAAAACAATGGAGCGCATCACCAACCTCAGACTACAGTGGTACATTGAAAGTGAAAACATCATTACACCACAGCAGGCGGGCTTTAGAAAGTTCTATTCTACGGAAGACCAGACAACATACCTCTCCCAAGAAATAGAGGATGCTTTTCAAGATAAGAAACTGGTACTCGCGGCATGGATAGATTTAAGGAAAGCTTTTGATAAGGTTTGGAAGGAGGGGCTTTTGAAGAAATTGAGAAACTATAAAATAAATGGAAAAATGTACAATTGGATTAAAGCATATCTACATAACAGAAGAGCCCGGGTACAGGTAGATGGTTTTAAAAGTAAAAAAGTTCTACTGCGACAAGGCGTCCCTCAAGGTGGTGTCCTGTCGCCCACACTTTTCCTTTTATTTATCAACGATCTGGTTGCTGAGATACCAAATGGAATCAAAATGGCAATGTACGCCGACGACCTGGTACTGTGGTGCACCAATGAACATGCAACGATAGCCACAAAAACACTACAGCGGGCTACAAATGCACTTGAGGCATGGGCCAATAGATGGTGTGTCAGCATCAACACAGACAAATGTAGCACCACACTATTCACCCTCTCCCCAAAGCAAAAAGCCGGCACCATCAAAATAAACGAAATACCCCTGAGAGATGATAAAGAGCCCACATACCTAGGAGTCACATTTGATGACAGGTTGACATGGAGAAAACATATCAACAAGGCAGCAACCAAAGCCAGGAGGAAGACAGCAATACTAAGAAAACTAAGTGGAACCACATGGGGAGCAGATGGGAAAATACTCAATAAAGTATACAAGCAGAGCATACTTCCACACTTGGAATATGGGTCAACTGCATGGTGTTCAGCATCTAGTACCACATTAAAGGAGTTAGACAAAGTGCAAAATCAAGCGCTCAGAGTCATCACAGGAGGGATGAAATCAACCCCCATATTAGAAATGGAGAAAGCTGGGAAAACACAGGCACTGAGAAAACGCAGAGATACAAAGTTGCAAATACAAGCTGAAAAGTTCCTCAGTATGCCAGATCACCCGATGGAAAATAGATTTAAGAACCTAGCCTTGGGACGGTTAAAAAGAAGCAGCTTTATACACCAAGCAAAAAGAATATGTAGACAAACTCCTGACCTTCCAGAAATTGGCTGCCCACTAAAAAGTATTCCGGAACAAACCCCATGGAGAGAAAAATGTAAACTAACGGTACAAATCCAGACAAATGTGAAAGGGATATTTGACAAGAAAGAGCAAGATAGTGTACAACGCAAAATGGCCACCCTCAGTTATAATGATGAAGAATACCCACAAGAACAATGGGTCAGAGTCTATACAGATGGGTCCGCAGAAAGTGCAGTTAGAAATGGTGGTGCTGGAGTGTACATCGAATTCCCAGATGGTACTAGGGATAAGTCCAGCGTACCAACCGGGAAGTACTGCCATAACTACGATGCAGAAACCCAGGCTATTAAGATAGCTACAGAGAAACTGCTAAATACCAACCTTGGCTCACAGTATGTGGTAATGCTTACAGATGCTAAATCAGTACTTGAAGCACTCCAGTCTAGGAAACTACCAGAATTGCAAACACTGCTGACACAACTCAGCGTTCAGGGAAGAGTCGTAATGCAGTGGATACCGTCTCATTGTGGAGTGCCTGGAAATGAGAAAGCTGATCAACTGGCAGGGGAAGGTGCGAAAAAAGAGCAGCCAGATGTACCAGTCACATACCACCAAAAGAAAAGAATCATTAAATCGATCAGGAAACCACCAGCCCCAGCACAAGACGACTATTTTATTATGGACAGACCAGAACAAGTCATTATCTTCCGCCTCAGAACAGGGCACAACCGATTACGTAACCACATGTACACAAAATTCAAGATAGGTGTATCAGCCATGTGCACCTGTGGAAATGTGCCCCAGACCGCAGAGCATGTACTCCAGGACTGCACCGAATTTGACACATTAAGGCAAACCTTTTGGCCAGAAAGAACAACAGTGGAACGTAAACTCTATGGACCACTGAATGAACTAACAACAACAGTGAAATTTATACAAGAGACAAAACTGCTGATATAGATAACTTATTTCAGGCGAACGAAAGAAGAAGAAGAAGATCTAACCATCCATACAACTACCCATCCATCTAACACATCAGCCATCCATCTAACCATCCATACAACTATCCATCCATTTATCACATCAGCCATTCATCTAACCATCCATACAACTATCCATCCATCTAATACATCAGCCATCCATCTTCTTCTTCTTCTTCGCGTTCACCAGCTGTACACTCTGGCGGAAAGTTCTGGTTGCTCGTCCACTACTGAACTGCAGTCCTGCTCCAGAACCTGAGTGTTGCGTGTGCATCAGTTTTACAGATCTCATTCTCTTGAATACAGACTGTTGGTTCCTTGCCTCTCCGGCAGATGCACTCCGACTTCAAAGGAAGCTCCCCAATTAGTCGACTCTTACGACATGCTTTTGGGGAGGCAGTGGGTCTATTCTTGTTTTCCCCTACAATGGGGCCCCAGAACCCACATGGGGGAAAGCCATCCATCTAACCCTCCATACATCTACCCATCCATCTAACACATCAGCCATCCATCTAACCATCCATACAACTACCCATCCATCTAACACATCAGCCATCCTCCTAACTATCCATACAACTTCCCATCCATCTAAAATATCAACAATCCATCTAACCATCCATACAACTACCCATCCATCTAAAATATCAGCCATCCATCTAACTATCCATACAACTACCCATCCAACACATCAGCAATCCATCTAACCATCCATACAACTAACCATCCATCTAACACATCAGCCATCCATTCATCTAACCATCCATACAACTACCCATCCATCTAACCATCCATCTAACTATCCATACAACTACCCATCCATCTAACCATCCATACAACTAACCATCCATCTAACACATCAGCCATCCATTCATCTAACCATCCATGCAACTACCCATCCATCTAACCATCCATCTAACTATCCATACAACTACCCATCCATCTAACCATCCATACAACTAACCATCCATCTAACACATCAGCCATCCATTCATCTAACCATCCATACAACTACCCATCCATCTAACCATCCATCTAACCATCCATACAACTACCCATCCATCTAACCATCCATACAACTAATCATCCATCTAACACATCAGCTATCCATTCATCTAACCATCCATACAACTACCCATCCATCTAACCATCCATCTAACCATCCATACAACTACCCATCCATCTAACCATCCATACAACTAACCATCCATCTAACACATCAGCCATCCATTCATCTAACCATCCATACAACTACCCATCCATCTAACCATCCATCTAACCATCCATACAACTACCCATCCATCTAACCATCCATACAACTAACCATCTATCTAACACATCAGCCATCCATTCATCTAACCATCCATACAACTACCCATCCATCTAACCATCCATCTAACCATCCATACAACTACCCATCCATCTAACCATCCATACAACTACTTCTCCATCTAATACATCAGGCATTCTACCAGCTGTACAAATAATTAATCAGCCATTCGGTTGAACAAACAACCAACTGTCCAATCACAAAATTAACAAACCAACTAACCCCTTAATTTATAATTTCAGCGTGTTCATTTTCTTTATTGTTTTTTTTGCTATTAAAAATGTTTTGTAGCACATAGTTTTCATTACAGCAGTTATTAATACTGTTATGTCAACAGAAAAGGCCTGGAAGAGATTTTCACCATGGTTGATTTGGATGGAAATGGACTTCTTAGTAGGAGTGAGTTTAACTGGTATAACTTGCGTACAAGTGGTGAAGAAGTTGGAGATGATGAGTGGCAGGTTGTGGAAGGTAAGAAGGAGAGCATTTATAGAGAATTATAGAGAATTTTCTGTCTTTTCTTAACATAAATCATGTTTCTGAACAGGGTAAATCTCTTCAATTTAAAGCCATAGTCTTTCAATCAAGAGGTGTAACTAATTAAAAGGACAACCACTGGAGTATCTGTTGTTTGTATTTAGCCTATACCAACAAGGTTATGAAAATTAATGTTCCCGGTTTGTGTTCTTGTGCCTTATTTATGGCAACAACAACAAAAAAAGGAGGGGGAAGGGGGATCTACCACTACTCTCTCTAGCATGTCATAAAAGGCAACTAATTCCGGGTTTGTTAAAATCAGATGTCTTGGGCTGAAAGACACAGCTATCACAGCCTAGCTGAAATCCACAACACAAGATGCCAACTTCCCTTACAAGAATGAAAACAGAAGGTGTAGAAATTATGAATTACTAGAATACAAAAAAAATTCAAAATCTGTTATTAAATTTAAAGAAAACGAAAATAATGTCCACAGATAAAACTGGCTGTCACCCAAAAATAACAATAAATGATGAAGAAATTGAAAATGTCACAAACTTTGAATATCTAGGCTCTTTAATAAACAACAATGGAGACTGTTTGACAGAAATTAAAAATAGGATGATGGCAATGGCAATGCAAAGATTGAACAGCCTTAAAAGTCTATGGTTAAGTACCAGCAAGGAGATAAAAATTAGAATTTTGAGAGCATGCATCTTCTCTGTGGCTACATACGGATGTGAGTCGTGGACTATCTATCCCTCAGTCCTGAAGAAAGAGAATAGGGGCTTTTGAGCTGAAATGCTATAGAAAGATTCTCAGAATATCTCGGACAAAGAAGAATGGAAATATTGACATCTTAAAAGATCTGAACATCAAGGAAGATTGGCTAATAAACAGCATCCTTTCTCGAAAGCTGAAATATTTTGGTCATATCAAGCGCCACGATGGATTGGAAAAAATTATAGCAGAAGGCATGGTACCAGGAAGGAGGGGCAGGGGCCGACCGACACGAAGATGGGCACAGGATATAAGTGACTCCTTGAGTGTGAAAGTTCATGAGGTGGGAGAACTGGCAAGAGACCGAGTTTCTTTCAGGCAGACTGTGATGAGAGCGACGTTCTGCAAAGGACCTGCTACATGATGATGAGAATAACAAAGTTAGGCTATCCTCCGAATAACAGGCACATATTATGGCGGCCGCAAAAACACCCTAACTGTATTAAAGAGTTCAATCTTGTATCAATAACTTCTCTTATTACCCATTCTTTCACGGTACTGATTACTGATTTAAGAATCAACATCATAGCACACCGGGCATACCCATAGATGCTCGTCTCCTGCAGCAAATGTCTTGAGATATAGATGCTAACTGTTCCTTTAGCACATTGATTATACACATGTCGTTCTCTTCCTCCCATATGTCCCTAGTTGCCATTTTCTTTCATTGTACACATTACATTAATGCTGTTTTGTTGATTTTGTTGATTTTTTTAATGTGCTTGGAAAAAGAGCATGTGAGAAAAAGAGAGGGAGAAATGATAAAAAGTTGATGCATACATTCTATATATGACTTTTCTACAGACAACATAGAGCTTGAAAATGGGGAGATCACCCTGAATGGTTTTATTAAGCTGAATGAAATGGAAGCAGACGACAATGAAGGTGACACTGATGATGCTTGGGTGACTATGACAAGTATGGGCTTCAACAAGAGTCTCATCCTTGATGAGGTAAACTGGATAATATTCTTGTATTTTTTAAGTTTTTGTGTTTTTCTGATTCATCATCATCATCATCAGGTGCCTTGCCCTCTGGCGTGGGCGATCATGCCTCTCCATAATCTGCGATCTCCTGCAGCATGTATCAGTTCGTGTGCCGACACACCTCCATGCCATGCAACAAGACTGTCAAGCATCTTCTCTTGTTGTCTTCCTCTATCTCTTCTTCCACATATCTTTCCAGTGGTCACAACATGTTCTATTTTCCCTCTTCTCATAACATGGACGAAAAATGATGACTGTCTCCTTCTGATGTTTGTGATAAGTTGTCTTCGGGCTCCCGCCTCTTTCAAAACCTCTTGGTTGCTCTTTTTTAACTGTCCAAGGTATTCTAAGCATTCTTCTGTAAAACCACATCTCCGAGGCCTCCAGAAATTGTTTGGCCTGCCTACCGATTGTCCAGGACACAGCCATATGTTAAAACTGGATGTATGTAGCATGTTTTTCAGATTAGAGAATCATTTATTGAGTATGCTAACTGTAAGTGAAGCCTTGGTAGCACAGCGGCTAGATCTACTGGTCTGAAGGTCTTGGGTTCAAATCCACACTGAGGCATATTATTTTTTTCTTTACAACTGACATTTGCTTCCGGGTTGACTCAGTCTAAAATGGATACCAGGTTATGTCCTGAAAAGTAATGGTAGCCAGCATGTTGTTGAACGCATCAGCCACTGAAGGTCTTGGGTTCAAATCCACACTGAGGCATATTATTTTTTTCTTCACAACTGACATTTGCTTCCGGGTTGACTCAGCCTAAAATGGATACCAGGTTATGTCCTGAAAAGTAATGGTAGCCAGCATGTTGTTGAACGCATCAGCCACTGAAGGTCTTGGGTTCAAATCCACACTGAGGCATATTATTTTTTTCTTCACAACTGACATTTGCTTCCGGGTTGACTCAGCCTAAAATGGATACCAGGTTATGTCCTGAAAAGTAATGGTAGCCATCATGATGTTGAACGCATCAGCCACTGAAGGTCTGTAACACATTATGAGTCTAGCATCATATGCCTGATTGTCCCACTGGTGTAAAAAAGGTGTCCTTTACTTCATGTAATTAACTTTTCACTGTAAGCTCTAGTTCAGATCTTGGTTTTTGCCCAGTGAAAATTTGAAGAGTAAAAATATTTAACTCAAGGACACCCACATGATATTTTTTTTAGGTAAGACAAAATATTTCCATGTTATTCAATGTTTTCTTCTAGCCTATAGCGGTTATTTGACATCCTATGTGGTAAATTACAGATGGATGGAAGATGTAGAAATTGACCTCTAACTACGGTTTAAACAAATTAATAAACAAACTTTATTTTTAGAGGGTTACAAATTAGGCACACAGGCCTGTCTTACATTCGGCCCTTCCAAGCACTCATCTTTCAGACCACCATTGCATGTTATCAATAATGCATGCTATGTCTAAAAAAAGTATAGATGTTTGCAGACAGGAGATGAATGGTACAGCTGCTGGGGTAAATACATAGGAACTGGTTCGCACAGACAGTGTTGCGTGAAGATGAAAAATCATGAAGGAAATAACCATAAAGGAGACAATGATTAAGTTAAGAGCTGAACGTTTAAGAAGAAAGACGTTAAATAGTGTAAGATGACCCCCGTGTGAGTTCCGGGGCCCTACTATGGGAAAAACAAGAATAGACCTACTGCCTACCCAAAAGCATGTCGTAAAAGTCGACTAATTGGGAGCTTCCTTCAAAGTTGGAGTGCATCTGCCTGAGAGGCAAGGAACCAACAGTCTGCATACAGATCTGTCAAACGGATGCACATGCAACACTCAGGTTCTGGAACAGGACTGCAGTCCAGAAGTGGATGAACAACCAGAACTTTCCGCCGGTTCACAGCCGGTGATCGCGAAAAAGAAGAAGAAGAAGAAGTGTGAGATGACCAGCAGTGGCCCTGAAATCCCATGCTCTGCTTGTGGAGACTTTTCCCATCATGAGCGGGTCTTCCTAGTCACACTTGCCATTGACATGGGCTGTGATTCCCATGCCTGCCTCTATTACAGTATATCACTCTCATCTGGAGAGACAAAAAGGTGCCAACAACAGGAAGTTATTTATGTTTGTTATGCTCACATATGTTCTGTAATTTTATCATACTTTGCTATTAAAAACAAAAAAAGACATGAATTACTACTGAAATGACTGATCATCTCTCATAACTTCTGATTTACTACACAGTAATGTCAAAGGAAGAAAAATCTGCCGCTGACGGAATTTATTAATAAATAATGAGGTTGTCTGAGATTCAAAACTAATGGTGAACGTTCTTCAACAGCTTATTATATAACTTTTATAACCGTTTATGTTCTACATTTCGCATCACATGTGTTAATGTCATCTCTGTTCTAATTCAAATCATTTAGATTACCCTGTTGTAAATTCTTGTATAAATATTGCAATACTGTTGTAATGTGGAGTCATATTTTCAACATTTAATTTGTGTTTTGTTATAAAGGAGGTGGATTTTTACATAAAATGACCAGCGTAGTACAATATTTTTGGAACTTAAATTAAGGTGAAAGATGCAGCAAATGAGGTGAAATTAAACACACATGAAATAAAACTAGTGAAGCTTCATATTTGTATAACTTTACTTGAGATCAAAGATGTAAGAAAAGAATTTAACTCTTTGAGTCCCAGATGGCTTAGCATCACAGGCCCAAGGGTAGTCAAGAGACATGTAAAATCAACACATCATGCGTTCTTTGGGACTCAAAGAGTTAATGTAGTCAGAGACTCGTTTCTTGAATATTTACAAGTAGTCAGCACATAATAGCTGATTGGAATCTTACACTGCAGCTGATAAAAATGGTTCTAGAAACAGGCTTTAAGCAGACTGAGAGACTGCATAGAAAAGTTAAAGCGAACTTAGTCTTTATAAATTCTACACTGAAATTGGACATTTCTGTTGGAAGAGACAATTATCAAATCTGTTATATAAATGGACACACTAAAATCAATGTATTTTTCATGATGAATGAGAAGAAATAAAAATTATTGTCTTACATATTTATTAGTTTTGTCTGCTTTTACATTTCAGGCATGTCCATTTATGTTGAAGATTTACAGCCATGATTGTGCTGACACAAGACTAAGAGTCATTGGTTTAAAATCATGTAAAGACAAGATCGACACTGCAATCTGTGCATTTGTTATAGCCAAGGTAGGTTCATCACAATGAAGATTGGATTCCATTATGTCTAATTCCAACTTGTTGCCCAAGTTGACTGGCAAATAAAGACAGCTGGAGCGATATTGACACATCACCCACCGAGTGCAACTTGGTCTATAAAATATACATCTAGCATTATAAGCCCGGTAGCTTGAAGGCGTAGAAAAATGTCCTATACTTGTTTATTTACTTATTGAAATTAAGATTGGATTGACTAGTTTAATTCCAATTTGCCAATATTTTATATTCAAAATAGGTTCTCCCAGTTTAAAAATGAATAATTTGAATCCTTTCTTCTCCTTCTTCATGTCTTTTTTTACTGCCTTAGGTGTCGAGGGACATATAAAGCTGTGCTTCATGCATCTCCTGCTGCCTCGACCATCTTCTTCTTAGTCAACATTGTGCTTTATGTGCTTCTCCTCTTTTGGTGTATGTCTTGTATAGTATGGTGTCACAAGGCATTTTCTCTTAGTGGGCAAACCATTTGATTTGTTGTCTTTGTATGTAATTTATAATGGGTTCTATGCAGACTTTTATCTTATTACCGATTTGTATCTTCTGATCACTCCTGCAGCCCTTCTCAGAAATCTAATTTCTGTGGTTACTAATTTTCTTTTTTTCTTTGTTGGGAGTGAATGTGTCTGGCACTGGTATCATTGGGTTGGAAAGATATGCTTTGTATTCTTCTTCTTTTTCTTTCGTTCGCCTGAAATAAGTTGCCTGTATTAGCAATTTTGTCTCCTGTATAAATTTCACTGTCATTTTTAGTTCATTCAGTGGTTCATAGAGCCATGCTTTTTATGAGATGTTTCTTTTGTGCTCATCAGGATTGTCTTAAACTGTAAGAGGGGGCTAGCTGTCCCAGTACTTGGTCAGCTTTACTGAATTAGATGTTAATTTCTCCATCCAGTTTCCCATCTTCAGTTATCAGATAATCTTTGAATGAGGAATGCAGGTTATGAAGAAAATGATCATGAAATATTGCTGGAAAGATCAATAAACAGAAGACACAGATATATTAAAAATGCCAACAAACAGAAAGGCCAACAAACAAAAAGGGAAAATCATGAAAACTTACGTTAAGACAGGTTTACTTATTCACAGGTGGTCATCCTGTTTCACATTGTAATACAGTTAACCTTATTATTACTGTTAACTTTGTCTTCTCCTTCTGCAGCATTTATAGCCATTTTTTGTTCACAATGTTTGTTTCTCCGTTATCAAACATTCTCTTTCTATACCCCAACCATTGCAGTCTTTTAGCTCTTATGATGCCAGTAATTAGTAATGATTTACAGATTGTATATTTTATTGTTGCTTTTCAGTCTCCATTCTCCAATGTTGGCATCTATGATGGGTCCACAGTTTAATATTAACATCCCACTGAAATAAAATAAACCTGTTCCCCCCCCCCCCCCCTTTTTCCACCTTTACACATACACACCATTTTAACCACAAGTTACATATTTTTCTTATTGTCATATTGTTGTGCTTTTTATCATGCATTCGAATGACATCACTTAACCATCTCATACCTAGCCACTAATTTTATGAAGCACATGCCAGTTTTTTCCTATATTATTTATCTCAGTAAATCTTGTAAATTGTTTTTCCCTGATATCTGTACATTTAACTATTCTATTCATTTCTATAACAGGGTGAGCCCATGAAAGTAAAGAACATGAAAGATCTGACACTGTACCAGTATGTGAATGACCACAGAGGAATCATTGTTGTGGACAATAAGGTGAAAGAAGCCATGACACACTTTTAAAACAATACTTATACTTCCTGTTTAAGTTTTTAAACAAATGTAGTCATTGAAAAATGTTCTTAGTTAAAAAATTGAATGTAAGTATAGAGTATATATGTTAAGGCCAGAGCTGTTGACAGTGAGTTTGTTACAACTGTCAGCTTCTGAAGAGGTTACTATATATAATTTTTAGAGCCTTGTAAAACTATGTTCATTGTTCTTTTTTAACCTTAACTCTTTCAGGCCCAAGCAGTTGTTACTTAAACACATTCTATCAAAGCAGCCATCTATTATACATTGTCATCCCTTTGTGGGATGCAATTTTTCGTTATTTCAAGCCCTATTCTGGCGCTTGCAGGGGCCGCAATATAGCCCGGCCTTAAATATGGTCTAATGGCTGAACGCAGTTTCTGGGACCTCTCCATGGGTGATCCTCATCCGCACGATGGCACTTTGTATCATCGGGTGTTTATCGCTTGTGTGATGTCCTGGTGGGGTAAAAGAAGATAGATAGATAGATAGAAGCAGCCATCACTTGACAGTAATAAGTGCTGGGTTTAAATCAGTCTAAATAATATGCCCCTACTATTTTTACATCACGTGAACAATGAAGAAAAAACAAACTTCCCTGAATGTGGTTTTTCACCGTTAATTCAGATAATTTGTTAAAGGGATAAATTGTCAATCTTGTTAAAAACAGTTCTATCTTTGTTTTTCTCACAGTCAAAGTCCAAAATTGAAATACAGTTAGACTGCAGTAGAAGCAGAAATGTGGTCAGTCATACTGGATCCCTACTCACCACAGTTACAGTTTTGCCTCAGTCTTCAGTGGTAAGTAGTAACTGGACAGATCTGAATGTGCATAAGCCGATATATAGGTTAGTTAGTTAAAAAATGTTAGACTTGAATATTTAGGACAGATATTCTTCTTCTTTTTCTTCCTCTGCTCCTTCATATTGTACTTCCTTCCTTTCTGTTCTACCAATGGAGCATATGCCCTCAACCAATGGCAAAAATGTTTGGTTGTTCATCTTTTTCTGGACTTTGATCTTGTCCTAGAACTTGAATTTTGCATGCACATCCATTTTACAGATCTGTCTTCTTTTATATGCAGACTGCTTGTTCCTTGCCTCTTATGCAGATGCACTCCGGCTTAAAAAGAAACCCCTATTTAGTTGACTCTTACAACATACTTTTTAGGGAGGTTGTTTGGTATTGTGTCAAAATTTTGAACTAGAAAATCTGCTTACTGTGTAGAATTATGCATGTATGAATTCTGGTATTAAAAGTGGTAATTAAAGAATCAACAAACAATAACAGATTTTATCTCACAGAGTAGCTAGCTGCCTGTCAAAAGCATCACATTAACTATTTTAGTCCCAAACAGCGCACAATTTCTGAAACACTGTATCTGCCGAATCCCCTCCCTAGCTTAATATGTTGTTACTTTTGTATTTGGTCAGAACAAACTCAAGAATTCTCGCTTTCCAGTGGTCTGCTGTTACATTATTACTTTGAAAGTAGTGCATTGACTAATTTTAATCCAGAATATTAATGGATATTAATCATCAGAATCAGAACTCTTCACTTGTTGCTGAAAATGGGTACAGGGTGCTTATGGGAGTGTCCCAAGTGCTGTGATGTCAATTCTTCAACACTAAATCATGGATATTTCTTCATTGGCATCTCCTACTAACCGTTCTTCCATAACTAAAAGAATTAACTCTTCAGGAATCTGGGGGAAAATTGCACTCATTGAGTATATATCCAAAAATTAACCAATGACTTTAAGAAAATTGGGGCAAATGGCCTGATCCTTTACCACAGTAAAAAAAATAAAGGACCCTTTTCCACACCTTTAGGCGTATAGGGCATATAGGGCTAGACCTATATTTTTATAGACCAATCGGCACAGGATGGGTGATGTGGTCAGCATCACGCCGGCCGCCTTTACTTTTTCGGGACTGCACCCGGTACCCACTCAAGGTCATTTTTGAAAAAAGTCTGGCTTCGCCAGGGAGCAAACCCATGACCTTCCGATCCACGGTGAGCGTCTAGCCGCTCGGCCAAGCTTCACCACAGAGACCCTCATTATTAATTCTGATATTCCAGAAAGTTAACCAAGTCAACAAATTTTTGTTAAAGTTGGGTGTGTATGTTGAAAGGCGCAAATATTAGCTTTGAGGTAAACAGGCACAACACTATTACATTACTCAGACAAACAAAAAGAAGAAGAAGAAGAATTCTGGTATTCCCAATATGAGTTCCAGGAGTCCATTTTAGAGAACAAAGAATTTACCTAATGACCTCCAACAAGTATATAATGGGAGGCAACTAACTGTGAGTGTTTCCTTCAAAGTCAAAGTGCATCTGCCTGAGGTAAGCAGACTTTCTAGTTTCCAGTTTAGACACAGTACTAAACAATCTCCCTGACAAGTATGTTGTAAGAGCCAACTAAATAGTGGTTTCTTTTTTAAGTCCCAGTGCATCATTAGAGGGCAGTTTGGGAGACTAATTAAAGTAACAACTGGGACATAGTGTAGAAGATTTGAGCCACACGCACGGGCTCACACATACACACACCTACACACACACACACACACGCATGCACGCATACGCACAAGAGAGAGAGAGAGAGAGTTAAGAAACCTGTATGATGTATAGGGCAATCACTGAAAATGTAGTTTTTGGGGGATAGAGATAGTTGATTAGCATAATCCTCACACTTTAAGAAATAATTTTCCTATCCTTCTAATTTTATTTTGTCATCCTTTAGGTTGGCCACTGTCTTCTGCCATTAGATGACAGCAAAGAATTCAGAGTGGAGTGTGAAGAGAGCATTCTAACTTAGTATATCTAGAGTGCTCTATTTTATTAATAATACATATTTCATTTGCTTCAAAAAGAATATTAGATACTTTTATTTATGCTATTGTTTCCTTTAATGTATGGTTTAACTTATTATAAATATGTGTGTGTGTATATATATATATATATATATATATATATATATATATATATATATATATATATATATATATATATATATATATATATATATATATATATATATATATATATATATATATATATATATATATATATATATATATATATATATATATATGAGTGGGGTTAAAAGAAAAACCTCAGAAATGTGTGGTAGAAATTACAGTAATCATGCCACTGTCTTGTAACTTGTCAGTATTGTTTTTTAAGAAAGTCAAGAGTGTTAAGCATATGACATCACAGTGCAGAAGAACATGGCGATGTCATAATGATAATTTTAAGATGGCTATCCCACTTTTGACATGAGGAGCAACGTTCTGTTATTCTTAATTCGCCAGTTTTTTTCTATATGTCTCATCCGTTTACTGATTAAAGAAAGAAAAACAACGATAACAGTACATTGCTCCTCTTTGTATCCAGTATGGTGATGCATGCCTTTCAGTCCAGCAAGTATGTACCATATTTGTTGGTGTATAAGATGCTCCCTTGTATTTGACACACCCCCAAAATTGAAAGTAATTTTCCAGAAAACAAACTGAATTTTATTTTTGCACCAGTTTCAAAACACAAGTCTCTAATTCCGGCCATTGTGCACCTTTTCACATTGTGCACACTTTTGTTTGTGCATTGTGCACAAAACATCATGTGGAGACTGCCAAAACCTGATGGTTTTTCTTTTTTTCTGTTGGTGATGGTCTGAAATGTTATCCGGACCTAATGTCATCTTCTTCAGCATATTTTATCACATGGAGTTTAAAACTCGTGGTGTAGGAATACCACTTAATACTTTTTTTTTCTCATATCATGGGCAACTATTTAAAATAATAGTTCATGCAGGCCTAACTTCATTGTATAAGACACAACCTAATTTTAATGTCTATTTTGAGAACCTCTCAAAAAATGTGTCTTTTACTCCGACAAATACTTTGTGTGTGGCTGTGGGGTGGAGTGGGTGTGTGTGCCTGCATGTGTATCTATATATATATATATATATATCGGCTCTGTGGCTAAGTCGATGCGAATGCTTCGCTTCGTAATGCCGGGATGCCAGGTTCGATCCCAGCTGCGGGCAATGCGCCTTGCGTTGGTTTCGACAGTGGTATCAAGAAAGCCGACCGTCCAGAAATCAGTGGCAAACTACTGGATGTAAATTGCCTAGAGAAACCACACAACAGCCAGGGGCTGTTAGGGTTGGTTCTGCAATGTCCTGTAAAGGATACGCAACTAACTTTTCACATGTCAATATATATATTTAAAGTGCATGAGGTGGGAGAGCTGGCGAGAGACCAAGTTTCTTACAGGCAGACTGTGATGAGAGCGACTTTCTGTAAAGGACCTGCTACATGATGATGATGATATATATATTTATTTATTTATTTATTTTGGGACCTCCATGGCGAAGTGATCAGGGCATTTTCCTGATGTTCTGAAGATTGTATGTCTGTTTTCATTGACATGTCATTCAGTTCACTGGTGCAGCTTTATGCAAATCCCTGGGGATTGTCACTGGAGCTACAGAATTTATGCTTTGTGTGATGCTTTTGGCAGACAGCTAGCCATTCAATGGAGAAAGACCAAGCCATATGGAATATTTTGGTGCAAATAAGTAAACCACTCAACATTAATAGTGTATATGTATATATAAGTTTCCAGAAGTGTCTTATTTTGACACAAATTGCTATGTTCACGTTATCTGCTGTAGTAAAATAAAGGACCCTATTCCACATCATGCTGCATTCTGGGTAAACTGCACTAGCTCCATACTTGTTATAGAACAAAAAAGCCCTCTGTGGGTGAATATGGTCACTATCTTGCCAGCCATTTTAACTTACCATAACATTTTATTATATTACTTTTACGAAGCAGCCAAGATCATTTTGTTTAAACCATGCAGTTAGGGAGGGGTTCAAATATATGACCACAAAAAGCAAGCATTCCAAGACCAGTTTATTTAGCAGTAATGAGGTAAAACATGAGGAGAAAAGCAATACTAGTTTACTAGTTAGCTTCAAGAGTTTAGTTTAGAATTTGCATCATAGTACATAACACTTCGAGCATTGCCACTGATGTTGAGTCTCCATTTACAGCAGCATGCAGAGTTCTAATTCTGATGCAACAAGTAGTAGTTTGAAACACATGAAATATATCAGAAGAAGTTATCTGTAATGTAACTCTGATTTGTTATTTGATCAGATTTTGTTTCCTTAAAGCGAAATATATTCACCTGGTTGTTATTGCAAGGGCAGCATGACTTTTAAAATACTGATATTCGATTAGGTTTAATAAAATAGACATAAATTCACTAATTATGAATCGCAGTGTACAGTTTAACATTATTGTACTTTTGTTCTGTTACATCTGTGTTTTTTTTTTTAAGTTTGATGAGTGGATGGAATAATGGATGAGCTGGTTTAAGAAGAACAGGTGGATAGATACGGAGAAGGAGAACAGTTAGGAGAGTGGCGAGAGAAACAGAGATCTGGAGAGTGAGAGAGAGATAGAGACTGGCTGCATTATCCATAACATCTGTGGTGTGTATCTCTACCTTTCCTATAATCATTCTGTGCCATGATGCATCACTATATGGTATTTTATGTTTATATATATCTTCATTGCTCAGACCTACTTATGTTCTAGATTTCTTGTTTCATCATTATGACCCAAGAATATTGACTATTTGAATTTGATATACATTTTCTTTGTATCCTGGCCTTGTACAAACCAATTATTTTGCCGGCCCCTGTAGTGTCTTTAGTATTTTTTTGTAAGATCATTGATATCATGGTATTTTATATTAGTTTACCAGGTGTCCAGGATTTCCTGTCAAATATTTTAAATGTTCAGGCTGATTTTTAGTAAATCACAAGCATTCATTTTTAATCTTGAATGTAACAATTTATTATAATTTAGAAACATTTTAAATGTAAACTTAGGTAACTAATATTGAAGTGTTTTTTAAATGATTATTATTTTCCAAAGCTAAATAATCAAATAATCAAGTCATGTACAATATATTTGCACAGTTTATTGCGCTGTATATTTTTGCTGCACATCTTCAGATGCATTCTTCAGAGTTTATATCAGTGCAGAATGAAGTATTTTTATATCGTTTTGTATATGGCTGTGAAACTTGGAGCACAACTAAAGGAGATAAAGCCTTATTACAAATGTTTTGAAAAATAGAGTCTTATGACGAATATTTGGACCCATCAAAAATGCAAAGAGTAAGGAATGAAGAGTGAGAAGCAACATCGAAATTCATAATCTGTTTAAATCACCATTGAACACTGGCATCATGAGAGCTAACAGACTGAAATGGCTGGGGGATATTGAGAAAATGTCAGATGACAGAGAGGTAAATACCGTATACACAAGGGAGCTAAATGGTCATAGACCACAAGGCAGACCAAGAAGACGATGGAGAGATAACGTCCACACAGACCTGCAAATACTTGGTGTCACCAACTGGAAAGAGAAGGCCAGCCAGAGAGAAGAGGAAGAAGGAAGCATAAAACATGAATCCTTGTAACTAAAACACACAGCAAAATTGATACAGCAAAACATGCTGAGGAATAAATTGTGCCATGAAATTGTCCTCATTATTGATATTCACAATGGAAAAAATTATCTAGAAAATATGTGATTCCTTTATTGGCCTTTATTGTATATTATAGATTGTTTTGTAAATAAGTTAACATGGCTGATCTTATTTCGTAGTGTTATTTTTATTCTGGCATTGAAGACTTATTTAGTATTGTTATTTTTATCTTGGTAATAAAGTCACTTGTCATAAATTTGACATTGCAGTTTTATATTACCTTTAGTAAAATCCAGTTTTAGATACAATTCTCTCAGAGAGAGAGAGAGTCTGTCAGAGAGTCTGTCAGAGATAGTCTCAGAGAGAGTCTCAGAAAGAAAGTCTCATGAAGAGTCTCATAGACAGTCTCAGAGAGAGAGAGCCTCAGAGGGAGAGTCTCAGAGCATCTGAGAGAGTCTCAGAGGGAGAGTCTCAGAGAGTCTTAAAGAGAAAGTCTGAGAGAGTGAGTGAGTCTCAGAGAGAGTGAATGAGTGTCTCAGAGTCTGTGTCTCAGAGAGAGAGAGAGAGAGTAAGTGAGTGAGAGATACGGTCGCACAGTGTATGAGTCTCAGAGAGAGAGTGAGTCTCAGAGAAAGCATGAGTCTCAGAGAGAATGAGTCTCAGAAAGAGAATGAGTGAGTATCAGAGAGTCTCGGAGAGAGATTTTCTGACACATAATTTTTTTTAGAGAGTCTCGGAGAGAGTCCATAGTCTCAGTCTCAGAAAGAGAGTCTCAAAAAAAGTCCTAGAGAGAAAGTCTCAAAGAGAAAGTCTCATAGTCTCAGAGAGAGAGAGAGTGTTTCAGAGAGAGAGATTCTCATAGAGAAAAATTATCAGAGAGAGAGTCTCAGAGAGAAATGGAGAGTCTCTTAGAGAGGTAGTACTAGAGAGAGTTTCAGAGATAGATTTTTAGAGTTTTTTAGTCTCAGAGATAATCTCAAAAAGAAAGTCCCAAAGTCAGTCTCAGAGAGAGTCTCAAAGAGAGAGTCTCAGAGAGAGAGATAAAGTAACAGAGAGTCTCAGAGAAAGAGTCCCAGAGAAAGTCTCAGAGAGTCCAATTGAGTCTCAGAGAGAGAAAGCCTCAGAGAGAGTCTCATAGACAGTCTCAGAGAGAGAGAGAGACTCTCAAAGTCTCAGAGAGAGTCTCAGAGAGAGTCCCAGAGAGAGCATCTCAGCAAGAGCATCTCAGAGAGTCTCAGAGGGAGAGTCTGAGAGTCTCATAGGTGCAGTTTCAGAGGGAGAGTCTCAGCTAGACAGAGTCTTAG